TCTCATTACCTCCCCCCAAAAAGACTTAGGCAGCTTTGAATGAGAGAGCATACATCTAATTCTGTCATTAATAGTACGGTTCATTCTCTCTGCAACACCGTTGTGTTGGGGTGTTTTTGGCACTGTCTTCTCAAACTTGATCCCATGAATTCTACAATATTCTGTAAATGACCCTCTGTATTCACCACCATTATCTGCACTGACACATTTCAACTTCCTTCTAGTTTCCCTCTCAACTGCAACATGAAAATACTTGAAGACATCTAAAGCTTGATCTTTAGTTTTCAAACAATAAGCCCAGACCTTTCTGGAATGATCATCAATAAAGGTAATATAATAGTGAGCACCACCAAGACTCAAAGAGTCCATAGAGCAAACATCAGTATAGAACAAATCTAGAACATTTGCTCTTCTAGAAGGAGAGAAATTTTTAAATGTGATTTTGTGTTGTTTACCTACCAAGCAATGAGAGCATGACTTCAAGTCAAAAAAGATCAAACATGGAACATTATGCTTCTTTGAAAGAATCCGCAAACCATTCTGACTCAAGTGACCCAACCATGTATGCCAAAGTCCAATGGAAGAGTCTTCAACTGCATTTACCTCTCCCCCACAAGATTTTGCCTCTGTCACATAGAGAGAACTGCATTTAATTCCCCGAGCTACCACCAAGGACCCTTTAGTGAGCTTCTATTTTCCTTCACCAAAGTAGTTATGATAGCCATCATCATCAAGCATCCCAGTGGAAATCAAATTAAGGCGAATCTCTGGAACATGTCTCACATTCTTCAAGAGCAATTTGCAAACAGTATTTGTGTTCAGGCATACATCTCCTATACCGACAATTTTGCACTCTCCATCATTCCCCATCTTCACATGACCAAATTGACCGCTAAAATATGAAGAGAAAACATCACGACGAGAAGTGACATGATATGAAGCACCAGAGTCAACAACACATTGTGAATCCTGACATGTGAGATTGACACTACCACCATCGCATATAAACATCATCACTAACTGCAGCTGCTATAGTGTTGGCTCCTTCTTTCTTTTCTTCGCCCTTTTCTTTGTTTTGTTCCCTCTTAAGTACTCTGCATTGGAACTTCTTGTGTCCTGGCCTTCCATAGTGATAACACTTAATCTCTTTCCTTGACTTGGATCTTCCTCGAGACCTGTCATTGCTATCACGATTCTTTGGAGTTCTACTTTTACTTCTCCCTTGCCTTTCAGTAACCAGAACTTGACTCTGCGTTGTTAACCCTCGGTCTTTCCTTCTGTTCTCCTCATTCAACATGCTCTCATTTACCATTTTCAAAGTGAATACTCCATTTGGAGAAGAGTTTACAAGAGAAACCACAAGGGTATCCCAACTGTCAGGCAAAGAGCTAATCAAACACATAGCATGAATCTCTTCATCTAACATTACCTCCATGGCAGTCAACTGGTTCAATATACCTTGAAAGACATTCAAGTGTTCAGAAACAGAAGTTTCATCCTGATATCTCAAACACATAAGCTTCTTGAAAAGAAAAACTTTATTCTGATAATTTCTTTTCTCATATAACTCCTATAGAATAGTCCACACCTTATGGGCGTTAGTCTCATTAGCAATATGCTGATACACAGTATTATCCACCCATTGCCTGATTTTTCCAACTGCCTTTCTGTTTAGTTTTTGCCAGTCTTTATCAGACATACCCTCTGGCTTGCCTTCATCACCTAATATGGTGTCTTCATAGTCATAACAACAGAGCAAATCCATCATTCTAGACTTTCATATTGAATAGTTTGAATCAGTGAGCCTAATCATAGTGCCACTATTGTTACTAGTTGAATCCTCCATTTAATTAGCACAAGAGATTCCTCAAAGGAACTTGGCTCTGATACCACTTGTTGGGAATAAGCCTGTTGTCTCACAATAGCCAAATAACACTTAATCTGAACTGAAGCAAAGTAATTCTCATTCCCTCTTTGTGCAATTAAATGAGCATGCAAGCCAAATAATATCAACCAAATAGAAAGTGTATGCAATAACAAGAACACAATCCACACATAAAGACATAAGATTTTAACGTGAAAAAACCCTCCAAAACGAAGGGAAAAACCACGGGCAACTAGCCACATAAAACTTCCACTAATAAATTTAATGGGATACAACAAATTTCTTCTCTAGCAGTAAATCTAGAGGATATCAGCATCAACTACTCACCCAAGAAAGGGTGGATTTCATCACATATTACCAAATTACTCAGAGACAAAAACAAATCTCACCAAAATGATAATAGATGAGAGGAATAACAAATCAAACCAGTAGATATGCAGCTTGAGGCGCCATTGATTGCATACTGAAATCCCAAGCCGATCGGAGAAAGGATCACTATGCAAGTTCGTATTCTTCACCCATGAGAACTCAAAACTTATCTTCTTCTTTCCCCTCACTCTCTCTTTCTCTCTCTCTCTTCTATTTTTGGTGGTAGACTTCACCGAGCAGGTTCAGTTCACCCAAGTTCTTTTTTTTTTTTTCTTTAACACTCCTCCGTTTCTTTTCCGCATGCGAAGTCGAAGACTCTTCGACTTCCAACTCCCCGCCTCCATTTTTGTTTTATTTTTGTGGGCCCCCACGTGGGAAGAGAGACCAACCAACAGATTTGAGTTTCAATAGTTTATGGGGAAAAAATATTCTATAATTTATTGGATCCATGAACAATCTCAGATTTTTCTCCCTTCACTATATATGCTGGCTTCGTTGGAAAGGTTCCTCCTCAACTCGGTAGTCTCTCGAGCTTGCTTGTCCTCGACCTTGGTGGCAATTATTTCACAGAAAGCATTGACAACCTTAAGTGGATTTCTCATCTTTCATCTTTGAAATACCTTGATATGAGCCATATGAACCTCAGTAGGGTCGTCAACTGGGTAGATACAATTAATAAGCTCCCTTCTTTGTCATACCTAGGATTAGACCGATGTGAACTTCACTGGATTCCCCCGTCTCTTCCCTTTGTTGATTTTACTTCTCTCGAAGTCCTCAAGCTTGGGTTTAATTACTTTAACCCTTTCATACCTCTTTGGTTGGCCAACATTAGTAGCCTCTCTGATCTCCATATGACTGGGAACCAGTTTCAAGGTTCAATTCCAGATGCATTTGGGAACATGACTTCACTTACTGCTCTTTACCTTGATTTCAATAAACTTGAAGGTGGAATACCTAAAACGTTGGGAAACCTTTGCAACTTAAAAAAATTAGGCTTGTCATCAAACAAACTTGGCGTCGAGATATCTGCAATCTTTGAAAATCTTTCGGGTTGCACTGCAGACAGCTTGCAGTATTTATATTTGCGTAAAAACCAACTTCATGGACATCTTCCTGATCTTCGAAAAATGTCGTCCCTAGTCCATCTGTTTCTTTCTGAGAATCGACTTACTGGGTCCATACCAGAAAGCCTAGGACAACTTTCGCAGCTATAGTTGCCTTAGATATTTCTTCAAATTCTTTGGAAGGTGTTGTCTCAGAAGCTCACTTTTCTAATCTCACTAGATTACAATAGTTGATGATTTCCTATAATTCTTTGGTCTTGAAACTAAACTCTGACTGGGTTCCAGCATCTCAATTTCTTCGTATAGAAACAAGATCTTGCCAACTTGGGCCACAATTTCCTATGTGGCTACAGAACCAGAAGAGTCTTTTCGGGCTTGATATCTCAAGTTCTGGAATCTCAGATACCGTACCCCAATGGTTTTGGAACCAAATTTCCCGAGTCTCTTATTTAAATCTCTCCAACAACCAGCTTCATGGGAAGTTGCCGGAGTTGTCATTGCAACTCGCTAGTCTTGTTTACATAGATTTGGGTAGTAACCGGTTTGAAGGTCCATTACCCAAATTTTCTGCTAAGTTGATCACATTGGATATGTCAGGGAACTTATTTTCCGGAACTTGGGCAATCTTATGTGAGATTGGTTCAGAAAATTCTTTGTCATACCTTGACCTCTCTGAAAATCTTTTATTTGGGAAACTTCCTGACTGTTGGATGTACTGGCCAAAATTGGAAGTTCTGATATTGAACAACAATAGTTTATCTGGAGAAATCCCTGGCTCCGTTGGGTCCCTAACAATGTTTAAATCATTGCATTTGCGCAGCAATAATTTTTCAGGGGAGTTACCTTCCGCCTTGAAAAATTGCACGCAGCTTGCTACAGCTGAGCTTGGACAAAACAGTTTTATCCGGTAGCATACCACCATGGATAGAACAACTGAGCAATTTGACGATTCTACTCTCAAGAGCAAATGAGTTAAGCGGAAGTATTCCACCACAAATATGTTGGCTAACATCTCTTCAAATCTTGGACTTAGCACAGAATAGATTATTAGGATCCATCCCTCGTTGCATTGACCATTTTTGGGCAATGGCACATAATGAGAAGTCGAACTTCACTGATCTTTCCTTTTTTACAGCTGGTGGTAGCTTCAAAGATGGTGCATTGGTGTGGTGGAAAGGTGCAGAGTTTGATTATCAAGTGACTCTTCGGCTAATGAAGAGCATCGATCTTTCAAGCAATAACTTATCTGGGGAGATCCCTACAGAAGTAACCACTCTTGTGGATTTGCTTTCTCTAAACCTATCTAGAAATCACCTAACCGGAGCCATCCCCACAAATATTGGTCACTTGAGCATGTTGGAATCAATCTCTTGACTTCTCAAGAAACAGGCTTTCAGGTTCCATTCCTACGAGCTTATCTGCTTTATCTTTCTTCAACCACTTGGACCTCTCAGAGAATGATTTGTCAGGAAGAATCCCATTAAGCACACAACTTCAGAGTTTTAATGCATCTGTTTACATGAGGAATCCCAAACTTTGCGGGCCTCCTCTTACAGAGAAGTGCCCCGGGAGAAGGAACAACTGAGAGCCCACTTATGGATGGTAGCCATAAAGATGAGAAAGATAGAAATAGGACTGAAAAGCACAAAATGGACTCGGAATCGTGCTAGCATATGTTCAATCTGGTATGATTCTCTCTCTCTCTCATATATATATATATATATATATAATTCAATATCCATCCTTATTAATAGGGTGTCAATGCACCAGTTTTAGGTTGAATGGACCAATAAGACATATTGAATTGGACCAGTTCAGATTTAATGGTCGAAAGTATTTATTGGATTGGATTGGACCTGGTCCATCTATAATGGATTTATATTGATGAATTGGGCTGGATTGAGTCAATATCTGATCCATTAGTAGAAGATAAGAATATAAAATATAAGTGTCAATCAACCTGCTTTGGGTTAGAATTCATCTAGATTAAAACAAATTTGATCAGACTTTGAATTCGACTAATCAAAATATTCATTGGATTGGATTGGGCCTGGTCTATTGTAACCAATATAATCAATATTTAAACTAAAACTGTAGTCTCATTGTCAATATAAAGACATATCACACAAAACTGTAATACCAAACATCCACCTTTATATCTGCAAAAAATGGGTTCCAAAATTTTGCTTTCTATAAACTAAGTAAAGATTCTGATTATTGCTCTGAATCTAATACACTGTCACTTTTTTAGTTTGTTCAGGAGATGATAAAACAAGTGTTTGCTTTTGGTCTTCAGTTCAAGTTATGGTGAGGGAGCTCAAGAATATTCTTGTTCATATTTCCTTCTCCACTAATGTCCACAAACTTTTGAACATTATTGTATATGTATGAGAAAATAAGTGTTTGTTCAGTGAGAATGTGATGGTTCATCCACATGGACACCGTATCTAAGGTGATGTTTGGCATCGACTTTATCGATTTTACAAAAATTGGTGATTTTTTAAATCAGTGTTTTTTCAAAAATCAATAAATTTTGTTATTTGGTATCAGTTTTGACATGTAAATCAATTTTTGAGAAATCGGTTTTGAGTCTATTTGGTACTGATTCTGAAAGGCTAATTATTTTTGTATTAGAATTATTATTCAGTGACATATTAGATGTCATGTCATCCTCAAAAAAATTGGAATCAGCTAGAAATCAGAAAACCACCAAAAAAGGTGATCTCTGAAAGGTCTGATTTCAAGAATCGATTTTTGGCCGTTCCTGAAAATCACTAAAATTGGCCAACCAAATAGAAATTTCAACGCTGATTCCTAAAACACTGATGTGGATCCAACATGGCAGTGATTTTCAAGAAATCAACATCAATGCCTCAAGTGTCTTAATCGGTTGCATTCTGGATACCTTGGGTCAAGACTCAAGTGGCACAAGTTGCCACCTGGTTTCATTTAGGAATAAGAAACACTAGACTTCCTGAACGGGAATTTCCTCTGGAACAGAAACGGCCAGGAATGATGCCAAACGGGGCCCAAGTGGCCCAACTTGACTCAACTCAAAATTTCACCGGGGCTGGATTTGGATTTTTTGGCCTTCAGACTTTGCAAGTAAAGCCCGAATCCAACTTGAATATATCAAGTTTCATTATGGACTGAGTTGAAGTTGGACGGATTGTGTTTGACCTCATGCTTGCGCTTCAAGTTCTTCAATTCTTAGGGTTGGACCTGAATTGATTTTAAGCCCAGCCCAGTCTGCCTGAGTTGCACCCTTTCAAAATTCACAAAGGATTTGATTGGTCAAATCTTTTCCGGTATCATGTCTTTCTGGCAGAGTGACAGTATAGATATAAGGGAAAATCTATGATACCAGAAAAGACATGGTATCATAAGAGACTTGACCAATCAAATCACCCCATGAATTTGATGAATTACACCTGATTGATCACCTCTTTCATGATATCGGTTGATTGGTTACAAATTTTTCCGGTATCATGTCTTTCACACGGTACCATACTTGTGCATTCAAGGTACTCCATATATTGTTGTCATCACCTTCTATTTCTTTGTTAGAATCTAGAGGTGCAAGTCAAGTACCCAACTTAAAAGAATTTACACTGCACCACAATTCAGGACCAATCCAGGCCCATGTCTCGGCCCAGGTGTATTCAAAATTTAACAAATTCTCAGCCTGGACCTAAGGAGGTCAATGGGTTGGACTAAACCATAAACCCAAATTGATATGACCCTATGGGGTCGGGTTAGGGTTATGGTTATTGTGGTGTAGGGTCATTAGGGTCATGTTAGGGTTTTGATGTCTCATCCTAAATTGGGTTCGGGTTTCACTATCCCAACTTGCCAGATCATGATACCCCTAAATACATAAAGAGATTTTTATTTCACTTTAACCTCAAAATCTTAAAGTTTAGGATTTTTTTTTCATATTTGTTTTGATTTTTCTCCTTTCACCTTGGAGGAAGTGACACTTTATAACACATAAATCAAATTCCATTTAGTTACTGGTTCTTGGGTTTTGAAAATGTGTTACAAAAAATATAATTGAAAGGGTGTGGGTCAAGCCAGGTTAGTATGGCCGTATGGACTGGTCCCTATAGGGTCGGAATGGGTTCGGAAATTGCATACTATCGAGTTGGTTCGGGTTCAGCAGAAGAGCTGGGAGTCGGGTTAGGGTGAAGATAAAACCCGAGACCCAGTCACCCAATCAGGTAATTTGGAAAATAATTCTCTCTTCCCATTAAATACTCATTTAAAAAAAATATATATTCTTTATCTATATATTTTGTTTTGTCTGCAACCAAATGCAGACATAGTGAAATCTTAGGTCAAGGAAAAACAAGATCAATAGACAAACATGTTTTCCAACTTGCAATGTGTCCAACTGTCCATATTCGAGGGATCATGTTCAAGGGCCCATCACTGGCAAATCTGAACTGGCAGAGATGATTGGTATCATGTATTGTTTTTATTGTTTGGATACTGGGAAAAAGAAATTATTTGAAGTACAAGCAACTCTATAAAAAAACAATGTCATAATCAATGGTTAGATGTGATTTCCGAATTGTATTTATTTTGAGTCCGACCATTTTTTATATCATGGAGGCTGGGACTCATTCTATGTGGTTCTCAAAATGTTTTAAACATGAAAATCATGTGGGCCCTGGATCCATCCACTGTTTTCAACCCATTGTTGATCTGGTTGATTGGACATTTGGATGGTGACTCGGTCACAGTCCCGGTTCGGGTCAACCTCTAATCCATTATATCATTAAAAAAATCGTTGATTCGGTTAATCACCTATCAATCCAATCCAGATGGTTAAACCTTGACCTGTCTGCCCCATTTAACAAGGTGTTGAAGTTTTATTATTTTTACTTTTTTATGAAAATTTTATAATATGTTGTTAGCACGGATTAACCCATTGGCTCAGAGGGAAAAGCGGTTCAACCCATCATCCGAATTTTAAAACATTGGACCCATCTATGGGCAGGTACCAGATCCTCCCAATAAAATGGTATTGAGTCCAGGCTTCTGGGCTGGGCCCATTTAAAATTTGACAACTTCTCAATCCAAGCCCACTCAAATTGTCCGATTCTAGTAGGACTAGGGGTGAGCAAATGGGTAGTTTCTGAATCAAATGAAACCGGCCTTGAATCGACCGTATTCAATTTGTTATGAAGTAGGGTCTGGTTGCAAATTCTTGGAACCGACCCCCACCCAAGCTGGTTATAGGGTCTAAGGATTTACCCTACCTAAACCAACCTGGTGAATTGGCATTGGTTGACCTTGGTAGAACTAGTAGTCTCGGAATTGAATTTTCCTTGAAATAAACTCCAAAATACTTTTGAGGATGTGAAGATTTAAACCCAAGTACTCATAATTACAAAAATCATGGTCTCACTTCACTATTGAATTATGTAAGTGATTTGATCATTTGTTTTCATTGTAATATTTTAAAGTATATAATAAGTAATGTAAAATGTAATATTTATAAAATTTAAATTATAATGATGAGCTTTCCTGATGAATAATAATAATGATAAGTTTTGAACCATATTAAATTAATATACTATGATAATTTACATATTAAATTACTTATTTTAATCAATAAGATAATATAAGTTTTAAACTATATATTATATTTATTGAAGATCAAGTTTTGAAAGAACATATTTCTTTTTTTTTTTTAATGAGAGTAAACAAAGAACAAATTCTAGGATAAACCTTAAACCGACCCCAAAACTAGAGTTCACATCTGCCCCACAAAATGTGCCCCAACAATGCTTCACATGCACATCTCAGCATGCATTGAGAATATCTTCCATACTTATGATTAAGAAATATTTTCAATACATCGGTTGAGATGTGCAGTGAGACATTAGAAATTACAACTTGCAAG